GAAGATAGGGCAAAATGATTGATGGGCTTTGTCTTTTTTAGTTTTTCTTTTTTCTTTTTTTCAATGCTCTCTGGAGTTTGGGAGAGCTGGAATGTAATAAGGTCTGAATCCTTGTCCTCAAAGGGAGGGAGGGTTTGGGGTGTCTGTACTGCATTTTAGATATGTGTTTGTAGTTGAAATAAAATTTTAAAAAGGGAAGTTCTCTGAATACAAGAAGATAATAATAAAAACTAGTCCTTAATGGGTAAACAACCTTCTGCTTCAGCAAAGTTTCTCTTATCTATCCAACTGTCAAGAGAGTTAATGGCACCTTTGTAGAATGCTGCAATGTCCTTTTTAACCATGTAGATAGATTCCTCCACCACACCATCTCTCAGTGGCTACCCTGTCAGCACAGGTCAGGCTGCCCAATGCAGAACTATAGAATTGTTGCTGTCTTTCCAAGAGTAGCACTACAGTTTCCCCAAGAAGAGGAAATGGGAAACCAAATGTTTAAGAGAAACTAAGCAGGCAGAGTGTGAAGCATGCTGTAGAGCAGGGGTGTCCAACCTTTCATTCCCCAAGAAGAGGAAATGGGAAACCAAATGTTTAAGAGAAACTAAGCAGGCAGTGTGTGAAGCATGCTGTAGTGTAGAGGGAACAAATATCCTGGTGACTCTTGCATAAAATGGCATCTTCTATTAGGTCACACCATTCTGGGCCCTTTTTATTGGTCCTGCTAGAGTGGGGTGAAGAATGTTAAACTCTCTCGATACAGGTAGACTGCAAAACTTTTGCTCATTTATGGCACGCCCAATCCTGAAGAATTATGGCAGTTGCTGTCTATTAGCATCGAGGACACCGTTATACTAGAATGTAATGCAATATTGGAAGGTGCCTTTTAAAATCTGCCTGTTTGTTTTGAGAGTTATATGCAAAATGTTAAACAATGAACATTTACATTATACAATTACTAAGAAATATCTACTGTTCTGTGCAAAATGAGTAAAGATGGCTATCATTGGATCCATGCCATTCAGCTGCGGCTACAGACAACCCAGGAATCAATCTGCAAGCAGAGGGAGAGGGCAGACAGGTGTCAGGGCAAAATGTCTCCTACAGAGACATCTCCTACAAAATGCCTCCTACAAGATGTCTCCAAAATGGCAAAATGCCTCCTACAGAACTGACTGACCTGAGGCATGTGTACATCATGTCTGGAACCCAGGTACTTGGCACCATTGTCTGTGATGAAGTCAGCATCACAAATGGATGATAAATTCATGCTCTGGGGCTGTTTCCTATTTCTATAGACCTGTAGGAAAAAGCTACAGTGATTAGGTGCATGAGGTCAGAACTGCAGGAAGAGCAGGGAGCATAAGGTAATAATGAAGCAGCAACTTTACATTCTGTTGCTTTTAAAATACAGAAAGCTTTAGCGCACAATGTATGATTCAAGAAAAAGAATCATTACATTGATACATTTGAGGGGTCCAATATAATGGCATGCTTATTTATTAAGAGCTCTTAAGAACAGACTGGTTATCTCTGGAGGGTTGGGAGAAACTGGCATGACTCTGACTAGTAATGTTTTCCTACTTTGTACAGGTAACAGTAATGAAGCTCAAGGCTGATACTGCCACACAAGGGAAAACATCTAATTAAATACTATTGCATTCCCATTTTAACACATTTTCTACAAAGGAAAAAGGGCTGACAATACATTCCACAACATGGCTTCAGCATCTAGGTTATCTGAATATTCTTCCTCTTTATTTAAAGGAATGATAGCACAATTAGTATGAACAGGAGAGTACTGCAAAACAGTGAAGTAAGCAATGTCTGTTCAGTGTTGTACATGCAAGTTTTGTCACCATGTTTTTCTATTTCCCCCTTCCTATGAGGAGCTCAGGGAGATTCAGTAACCCATCACATCCTCATACCGAATCTGAGTAGCTGTGCAACCTTTTGAGTTCAAGAAGAAGCTAAAAAAAATATTTTATTTCTCCTCACAGAGATATTTTCTGCACAGTACTCCCCCCTCCCTTGAGAAATCTTACAGGAAATCTTGCTGGGTCTCCTACAATTTGTGTGGTCATTATTTTGTGGAAGACATAACAAGTTGTGCAGGATTATTACAATTCTTACAGAGAATGGTTATCTTTCCTGCACAGTAGTCACCTGCAAAGGGCAAAAGAAACTCCAGTCTGTGTAGGATTCTTACAATTCCTGCACAGAGTAGCATGTTTCCTGCATCGGATATACTGGAAACAGCATTAAACTGTGCAGAATCTGGCAGTTCCCTGCACAAAATAAGTGGAAAAAATAAAAATGAAAGGGGGAGACAATATTGCAATCTTGGTTTTGTGAGTAGCCAGGAAAACTTGTTAGTGCAGGGAGAAATTGGCAGAGACCATTTGGCAGGAGATGACCTGAAAAACTACCGAAATAAAACATTTTTCAAGTACTTGTCACACTCTTATAAAACAGCAAGAACAGAAATGTGAATGGAAAGAACTCTGTGGCTGTGTGGTGATATGAACTCAACTCTTCCTGGCCCATATCAAACATTCTAACTATTAAACGATACGGTAGCATACAAGTTTGATGTGGTTATTCTTCTCATCAGTAAAACAGAAAAAAGGAATGCAGTTTAATAATTATTTAGAGGTAGAGCATAAAGTACCTAGACATACACAATGCTCATCCAATTTGCAAATCAGAACGGAAATAAATTATAGCCCAGTTTCCACTCAAATCCAGGTATCTTTATAACTTCCAGATAACCTTGCAGAAAGCTAACAAGCAAATGCAATACAGCATCTGAACACACAGCTGTAAAAAACAAAATAGAAAATGGGAATTCTACATAAAGTGTTAGTAGGGTTTTACAGAAAAGCATATCTTTATTTGATGCTTCCTGCTGTTATTTACTAAATAAAGTGGAAGGCATGATAGAAACAGTAGAACAGGATATGTTCCACAGAATATACTGGACAAGTCAAACCAACATGCAACGAAATACTGAACACCAATAAAAAAGTAGCAAGGCAACATGTGTCCTTAATCCTACCTTTCCTTCAGGCTCTCACAAAGCAAGCTTGGTTTAAACACTTGTTTTGAAGTAAGAAGAAACTTTAACAAGGGCAATAATCTCAAATTCCCGGAAAGAGTAAAGAGAATGGGGGTAGGAGGGAAGAAAAGGGAGTTTTTCCAACCTGTTGTTTTAACTGATGGACTAATCTGTCTTTTTCTCTTTTCAAAGCCATCACTTCTTCTTGAGTTTTCTTTTTCTTTGAGGCAGACAGTTCGAGCAAGGCAATGTTTGCATCTTTTTCGCTGATGGCAGCAAGTAGTGCTTCCTGTCTGATAAAATAAATAAATATATACATCAAAACTCCTGGAGAGCATCTTAGTTTTTATTCGAATATTCTAGCAGTTCTGGAGGAAAAAAGGGAAATCATATCAGGTATCATGGCTGCACAGAAAGTCTTATCCTGTGTGCAATATAGACCAACAGATTTTTTTTCCTCCCTGGGTTGCATACCATGGATCCAAATTCTTAGCTAATAATAGCTATGAACATCAGATACTGAACCTATAAATGGTGTGAGATGAATAAAGTATCATTAGACACACACTTACCTGGAATAAGCCACACTGAACCTGTTGAACACTTTCTTCTGAGTAAATATGCATTCCAAGTTGAAGCCATAGAAGTGAGCCCACACATGAAATGCAATCTCTTTGATGTGGTCTGGCTGAAGGGCAAAATGCCAGCTAGATCAATATTAGCTTCTTATGTTCAGCTTTACAGACCACTCTGATCCAAGCAAAAGCCTGGACTGCACTGAGTGCCTCATAAATCTATTGAATCAATGTTTCCAAGTATTGCTAAATTGCATAATATCTTTAGAACAGCTCAGCACATAGAACTGATAATGTGCTGACCCAAAGAAACATCTCACAAATGTGAAGGATAATCCAAGATAAGATAGGCACATACCAAGTGAAAATATCATAGCATGTGTTCTTTTCTGAAGTTCTTTCCCCCCAGGTTTAACTAAAGACTTCCATTTTCTCTACTATTTCCAGTCTTTTATTGATTGTTTGATTTTATTTGATTTCTATACTGTCCCATTAATGCAATCACTACAAAGGGCAGTTTACACAGGATTAAAACTTTTATTATTTTATATTCTGTGTTTTCACACAGCGCGTTACAAATGGCAAGCATCAATTTTTGCTTAAGAAAAACAAAACAAAGGACTTGCAGAAGAATGGAAAAACTAATTTGCGACAGGTTTATTCTAACTCATTATGTAGTCTGTTGCTGTAAAAGGGCAGGAGGGAAACTGTGGCACCTTAAAGACCATCAGATTGGTTGTGGCGTAAACCTGAGCCGGATAGATGATGTAATCAGGGCAACTGTGAGATGCATAAACCAAACAAAAAATATTCAAAACCCTTTCCATAGCCTGCTTCATCAGCTGCTATCAGACATTAGAACCAGACATCTCAAAACCCATTGCAACTATAGCTTGTATATGTGAAAGGACAACCTTTAATTTATATTAAAAAATTATGGAATATGAACTCTGATTCTATAAACCAAGAGAAGGTAGGAATATCTAAAAGAAACAATGTTAAGTACATCATTCAATGTTTAGAATCTGTGTGCAATTTCTCTATAACAGAAAGGTCTATAAAGCGCAGTTACTTGCTTCCACCACAGAGGGAAACCATGCTACTACTATGAAAACTCAAACTCAAATATTCACATCAGATGTTTAACTGATACTATCGTAGATTTTATACAAAGGAAAAATATATTTAAAAATCTGCTTTGGAAAGGAGCCCCTGGTGCAGAGTTAAACTGCAGTACTGCAGCCAAAACCCTGCTTATGACCCAGGCTCAATTCCAGGTAGCCAGCTCAAGGTTCACTCAGCCTTCCAAGGTGTTTTTTTGGTAAATTGAGTACCCAGCTTGATGGCTGTGAGAGGGGATTTGTAGCCAACACAGTGCTTTAAGCACTATGAGGCAGTACATAAGCAGCACACTTCGCTTTTTTTTCTTTTTTTGTGTAACAGCACAAAAGAGCAGTTAACAATTGATGAGCTTGTTTGGTCACTTTGAGTGTCTGCTTGTAATCCCCTACATAAATCACATCATGAATTACTTTCAGTTCTTGCTCATCTATGTATAATCTGACACAGATAACTGTCAGGAAAGGAAATGTCAAAATTATCTTAACTCTTCTGACATTTCTCACATATTTGAAAGCAACGTCCACAATCTCATGTGTCACTGGTGTTTTGGAGTGGGGGGTAGGTTATCCTATTTTTTTAGCTCAGATAAACATTATACTTGAAATACTGAACACAATATGCCACAACTAGAGTAGGCTCATTTAAATTAGTAGAATTTGCAGAGTTGACTCACCAAATCCCCGATTCAATGGGCCTACTCTATTGCACCTTACTATGCTAAGCAACAGAATTTCTACTATTATATCCTAATAATTATAAGGGTACATAATTTTAACACAGAATAGAACTTTTTAGTATAGCTCCAGACTGACACTATAAAAAAGAAAGCAAAAAATATGTACAAATACTATGCTACTGAATGCCTGACTAAAAGGGCATTTGTTCCCCTGTTTAGTCTGCTCTGGAGCTGGGCTCCAGGGACAAGATTATTAAGATCATCAAGAGGTTTCTCCAAAGGAACAGGCAGACAGTTGTTTAACTATCTTGGTAAATCTTTCCCACTGAAAGGAAAGAAACTCTCTCTTAAAAGGAAGGAACATTGTAATCATATTAAATAATGTTGCCTAGTGGTTGGTGTGGTTTCCTGACCTGAAATTATTCAGTCTTGCATGTCGATGCAAGTATTGCATATCATGGCTCTATGCAACCTTAACTGACCCTATTTAGTCCACTCCAGCCAACTCCAATTTGGTCATCTAGCCAATCTCAGAGTCAGAACATTGATCCCTCTAGGCAGTATTGTCACTGTTTGGTGTTCTCCCTCACCCTACACTATCTGGAGATGCTGGGAGCTGAACATGGAATCTCCCTTAAACAAAGTGTGTGATCTACCACTGAGCTATCATGGGTTTCCAACAGAAGTGATAGCTAAATCTCTAGACCAGGCAGATTACCATATACTGTACTGTAAATTATGAACTTCATTACACTCAAATGATTTAAATCTCAACAAAAGTGGGAAAACCTGCTTCCTCTAGACTACCCAGATTATCCAGTAACATCCTCACCCTCTCTTAGTTGAACTGCAGCTTATTTCTTGCCATCACATCCACTGTCATTATTGGGCAGTTAAACAGAGAGCCTGGGCTATCCAGCTATAGCTTTAGATACTGGAAAGCAATTACATAAAATGTCAGTATTCAGGACTGGTTTCACGATGAGCTTTGGCTCATTCTATTAAGGGAGAAACTGTGGATATACAAGAATTCAGCTTTTAAATTCCTTTAATATTCAGAAAAATAAGAGAAGCAGGATGAATGAAACTCTTATGTGTAAGAACATGTAACCACAGAAAAAAGAGCCACAGCCTTAAAAGTTGTTTTTCTTTCTTTCTTTTTAAAAAGAAATACAGAGAAGAATACACAAAATAAAGATGTTCAATAACATATGCTAGATAATTAACAATGGATTGAAGAAACATACTAGATGGATTTAATAGCCCTGAATTGTCAGTCAGCTTGTAGAAAGGGTTCAAGATGGAACTAATAAAAATGCAAACAAAATGGTTTTAACCACACACAAAAATTCTGTGTAGAATTAAACATTGACAAATGTTCTCTCTTGATTGCTGTCATGCCGTTTAACCTTCTTAAAGAGCCTCCCAGAAACTTTTAACAATAATACATTGACTTGACACATCACAGTCCATTTAAAAGGCCATAATGTAAACACTTTTGTTTCTCTTCCCCACTAGCTTAGTCAGAGAGCAGTTTGTTAAGCTATATTAATAGGAACCATGATAATCACTAAGGCTGGTAAATAGAAGACATGGAAAAAATCGAAAACAATAAAGATTTCAATTACAATATGTTATGAAGACAAGATTATCCTTATACCTTACATCCTGAAATACAATTATGTGTAAAGCAGTTGAAATATTCTAATTTAAAACATTTGAGCCAACAACATATAGTTCACTTTTCATGTTGCCATCATAACTGAGTGAAAAAGAAACTGCTCAATCATCTTGTCTCTTTAATTCTTGTTTTCTTTCCCTTCTGACCCTAGGTATTCAACTTAGGGTTCAGTAGGAGGTGACTTCAGAGACAGCGCTGAGAGATCTTGCTTGGAACAGTTTCCTTCCTTCACTCTAAACTCGCCCCCTTATTTTTAAAAAAGTGTGTGTTAAAATATGCTATGAATCCACTATAAATGCCCTCTACTCATGTGCCTTTAAGGAACATTACTTGCAAGTAGAACAAGGTGTGTGTGCGCGCGCGCACACGCGTGTGCATGTGTGTGCGTGTGTGCGCACACACATACACACACGGGGGGAGGGGGAGACATACTGTTCCCCTGACAGGGTTGGCCCAAGGTATTTGCTGTACTTTACCCCAAATCTGTTCACCAAGATGACCATCTCACTTATTTTTTAGTGTCCAGTATTTGTAATTTATTGGAGAGTTCAGTTTATTGGATCTTCAGTGATGTTCAGTGATACAGTAACATCACTGAAGACAATAGGATTACTCTAAATTTGTGCACTACAGCAGAAGGATTTAGCTCCAGTCTAGGCAGTAAATCTTTACGGTTCTTAAGGCTTGGTTCTTAGACTTGAGCCCTCTTTGTATATTTTCTACATGCATTCAGTGAATGCACTCTAATCTTTGCACATGCAGAACACTGTGATAAAAGGGGCTTGTATACAAACCATATGGACAGGTCCAAGATAGATATAAATGGATGTCATTTTCTTATGAGTTGGGCTTGATGGAAAGTGCTCCTAACCAATATAAAGTCATACTTCTGTCTACCACAGTATTCATTGCTGGTCATGGTATACTTGATTTTAAATGTGGCTATACATTTTGAGCAAAAGTGGCTACAAATGTCACATACTGTAGAACAGGACTATTGTTCACTATCAATTAAAATTATCAGAGCACATATTACATAAGCCTCTTAGTACACAGAAAGTAAGAATAGATGAGAAAGTTCAGAATAATCTAAAGTATCTGGAATTGGCAAGTGATAGTAAAAACATTCTTTCTCAAGTTGGAATGGAGCCAGTTCAAAAGAATTGTTTTGGACAATGTCCCAGAAGATGGATAAAAATAATACTTTTTACTTTGGCTCCATTCTAAGTTGGAGACTCA